ACACACACACACACACACACACACACACACACACACACACACACACACACACACAGACACACACACACACAGACTGACCCGACAAGACAGAGGCCTGCAGCGGCGGCCCATGTGATGAGTCCGGTCTCGTGGTCCACCCTGGTCTGGACGTGCTGTTGGCAGGTGGTGCAGGTAGTCGTGACGGGGTCGTGCGAGCTGAACTGCTGCTGGCCAATTATTATCGCACCTGGCTGCGACACTGCAACCAACACGGTCATTTGTAAGGCCGAAGTAAGGCCACATTCCTAGCCTCCATAGCATGCCAAAAAACTGGGGTTTGGGGGGTCTCCAGGGTCTTTGGGAGCTTTTATGTGCTATTTTCTGATTGCATATAGACGACATAGCCGGCCTGGTTGAATTACCCCCGTTTTTTGTAGAACTGGGCTAATAAAAAACAGCCGAAGACCACCAAACCTCCAGTTCTATAAGCCTGCTATAGAGCCATCTCGTATCAGCCACAAAAAGGCAGCATGCAAGAATCTTCAGGTAGTTGAAGGCGGCTGCCTCAAAATAAACGAAGAAGGAAAAGAAAGAGCTGCACTTACCGACGACGGTCGTGTTAGACATCTGTGCCCCAGGCGGTGGCGGTGGCGGTGGCTGTGCATATTGGGGCTGAGGAGAGAGAGAAAAATAGTCATATAATAAACAACTATGCCAGAATTTATAACTAAACAACACAAAGCACTAGATTTAACTAGAAAGGTAACGTTTGCAAAGCAAATGCATAATGTTACCTTCGCATATGGTCTGCTCTGTTAATTCTTATATATATGGTGACAAGAGTCTAAACCCCTTCTACTATAAAATTGCAACATTATGTAACCCGACACCAGTTACCATGGTAATAGACGGTCAGGCACAGGTCATTGACCAGGTCAGAGTTCAGTGTTCGGAACGGAAGTAGAAGCAGAACCATACAAAGCGATCACATTGGTTATTTGGTCCTTATGTAGATGTGGATACAGGTTTTACAGTATTATAAAAGCGAGAAGAAGTTGACCACTCTGTATTAGCTCAGTGACTAGAACACTTTGTATTAGCCTAGTATAGTACCCTTGTATGTTCCTTATGTATGTATGTCTAAGTCAAGTAGTGCATCTTTTGTCTCCAATTTTCTATATACGTTTGTTATGTGTCTGTTATATTTTGACCTGTACCTAGCCCGTTCCTAGCCCGTATTTGATCCCTGTAAATAGTGTGTTGGAATAAAGTTTAACGTTTTACTATGATTACTACCAACACAGATGAACTTTCATGATAAAAGGTATAATAAAGTTATGATAATTTTGATACGTACGTCGTAAGCAGGCGGCACCTGTCCCGGTATGGGCTGGGTCTGCTGCGGTACAGGCTGGGCCTGCTGAGGGTAGGGTGCAGACATCTCTGCTGGGCCTTGTTTCGTCTGGAACATATAAAATAAGAAATCGGAGATTTAAGACTTCCGTTAAGTATTGTAAAGGTGGTCCTTATGTGTGTGAATGTGGATACAGGTTTGACTACATGTATATAGGCTGCGCCTGCTGTAGGTATGGAGCAGACATCTCGGCTGGGTCCTATTTCCTCTTGGCCTGGTGGAGGATACGTATGTACAGGTGGGTACAAGTTTAACTGTGTTACAAAGTTATCGCAGTGGTGATACGCCCGCCGTGGGTAGGGTGCAGACATCACTGCTAGCCCCTGTTTCCTCTGGAAATTTCAAACTTCAGGGAAGTATTTTGAGTTTTTGTAAATCTATTGGACCAACAGAGGCTTTCTAGGACCTTTTCTGCAACCGCTCATGCAACGATTTTCATGATTTTGGAGTGGCAAATAATTTCATCTCAATACCTGTAGGTATCTGTATCCGTATAGCCGGTATAACCGCACTTCGACATAACGCACTAGTTGGCTATGTTACACCTAAATAATGTCCTTGGCACATCTATCTGTAAGCGTTGTTTAAAAATATCTAGTCATGACGCCCCTACTGTACTTGGTGACAGCAAGTTCCACCCTAGGATAGTTTCAACTTTCAAGGGAAAAACAAGTTTTTTAACACCTTAATCCTTGGTTGATAACTCTGGTACTTGAGGGAATGACTATTTCCTGATCTTTTCTGTGCTGATAGTAGTAGTCCAGGAGGAGAAGATTGAAAAAAGTCGTGTCGTAGCACACCCTTTATATACTTTGGCCACTACCATAGGTACTTAGTACAAACTGCAGTCGGCACGTCCACCATTCTATCAGGTAAAGACACCTGCTTTGTTGTTTCCAGGTAAACTATTGGTGACGTGCAAATTACTTAATCTCCGTGAGTGTGACTTTTGTTGTGCTTTATTCCGTTCATAGGCACGGTTCTTGATAGTCCAAGAATACCCAGAACCGTGCCTGGGGCAATCTACCTTCTTTAACGATATGATATTTAATACGTGTAGGCTATCCAGAACCGTCACTTGGGCAAATCTACGTTCTTGGATATACAGAGACTATCCAGAATCATGTCTTGGGCAAATCTACGTTCTTGGATATGCAGAGACTATCCAGAACCTTGTCTAGGTAAACTATTACTGACGTGCAGTAGGTGAGGTCATTTAAGGTCACTCCATGACAATGCTTAGCAAAGGGAAGCGTACCACGTCCGTTACTATGGCAACGGGTCAAAACTGTGCCGAGGTATGTTGGCGATCACATTCAACTGTACAATAGGTGCACGGCACTGTATATACATATATCATATGCAGCAGTGGCTTCTTCTATTTGTGTATTGAAATTTAACGCATTTTGTAAAGAATTGGTTCAACGGCTATTCAACGGTTATTCTTTTTTTTTTACTGAAACATTTATTGACACAGCATGGTTACTGCACACACAACTTAATACACTTATATTCATGCCGCACCCAACACATGAGGCAATACATAATACATAGGACGAACAAAGCACGAATCAATGTAGTAATTAGACGGTGAACAAGTGAACAAATATTTTCAAAGACTGGCAGGACTGACATGCCAAAATATTACGGCTATTCTTATATCGATAAGTGTGGTGGGTTCTTTACGTGCTTGAGGTGTGGCTCTCCTCAAATACGCTGACTTTCGGATTAATATCGTAACATAGAAGCTGAAGCTAGGTTCTTAATTTCACCTGAGTCAAATTATACGTCATGCATCAGTAAGAACATGAATATTTCAAGAGGAAATTTGCATTCCTCAAGGGCACCTGCGAGGGATTCGAACCCAGGACCTTTGGTAGTTAGATACAATGAAATGCACGTCAGTAATAAGTAGTAGTAGTAGTAGTAGTAAGCCTTTATTTAAACTCGAAAGCTTGTTCGGTACATACATATGACCGCTAAGAAACATAAGAAACCATCATTACGGAGCACTTGCGACAAGAAAGAAATAAAACATCACAAGGTACAGAAAAAAAACGATAACAGCCAAAACATTAAACTTTGTGCCTACAATTCATCCTTGCACTTTCTACAAATGACTGTGTGTGTTCGTAAGAAAATTCAAACTCTACTACTGGATCAGTTACGGATTTTTCTTTATTTCCGGACGTTTCGAGTGACAATCCGTAACTGATCCAGTAGTAGAGTTTGAATTTTCTCACGAGTATCGTTTACCTGGATGTCTAACCTTCATCAACGACTGTGTGTGTTGTGTATAGTACGGATATCCGTCAAAAACATCAAGGCGATACTACCAAACGCTTACAATCTTTATTCTGAGCTGACATAAAATGCACGACATTTTGAAATTGTTTACTCACACGGTACTGGATGAGTTCAAGCGTATCCAGAATCGTGTATGGGACAAGGTACATGTATACCTTCTTGAATACGCGGAGACCGTCCAGGGCAAATCTACGTTCTTGGATACGCAAAGACTATATCCAGAACTGTGCCTGATCCTAACGTTAACCCCCAATTCAGGTATAGAACTAGATAAGCACGGTTCTGTATGAAATATCTTCCATTTCCTTGAGCTTGCCTGGGAAAGTAAGACCGCTAGCTGTAAACAAGACTGTGTTGATACCATTTGGAACCACTGGCGCATGACGGTTTGTCATTCAGGAAGTATTTTGGTCGTCTTGTCAGTACTGATAACCACCCAAGTTCAACGATACTAGCCTCCATATCATGCCAAAGACGTATTTTTGGGTCTTCAGGGTCTTTGGGATCTTTTATGTGCTATTTTCTGATTGCATATAGACAACATAACCGGCCTGGTTGAATCACTCCCGTTTTTTGAACTGGACTAATCAGAAAACAGCCGAAGACCACCAAACCCCCAGTTCTGTAAGCCTGCTAGCTACGGAGGCTACAACAATACAGTGATCTTACAGCACATAGTACTTACTGTACAATATCATAAAGTATTGAACTTTTCCAAGCATAATTCTACGCCTATATGTATTTAAAAGGGCGAGTATAGAGTCTAAAAACACCTGTAAATTTAGCTATTGTACACTATCAGACCAACGCCAACATACAGTTGTGTAGTGTTCACATTGGTGACATAAGATATTGTCATCAACATTGTACTATACAAACAGCTATTCTTTGAGATTACAGTACAGAAATGTAGAAACAACGGATATACAAAGGAATTGCCTGAGTTTGGTCGCCACATAAAGGAAGTAGGGAGTACAAAAAACACCTGTAAATTGAGCCATTGTAAACCGTCGGACCGTAACCAACATATACACGTAGTTGCGTAGCGTTCTCATTAGTGACATAAGACATCACTGTACCAAACAGAAATTCTTTGAGAATCAGATACATTGTAAAGTAGAAACACTGGGTAAGGAACTGTCACAGTTTGGTTGCCACATATATAAATATTGCCACATAGTCACAAGTACAAAATACAAATACATTGTGTTATGGTTTGACCAAGGACGCTATTAAAGGAAACAATACACACTAAACAATTTGTAAGAGCTCAATGTTGCCCTAGAAAGAGCAGGGACATTTCCTTTGGTAAAAGAGGTAGTTTAAACTAGCCCTTACCAGGCTTTGGAAGGCGGTTGGAAAGAGTAGAGATCGGTCAAATAGAGAGATAGCATGCCAGGGGAGTTGGTCTGCTAGAGAGTACATTTTGTCTCTGTTCTCTCCAGCAGACCAACTCGCCTAGCTGGCATGCTATCTCTCTATTTGACCGATCTCTACTCTTTCCAGCCGCCTTCCGAAGCCTGGTAGAGGCTAAGCTTAAACGGTACAGGTTGGATCTTCTAGACTTAAAGAGGTTAAAAAAACGGTACACCTACCTTACAGGTGTGACAAGATGTCGTACAGGTAAACAGGTACGAGTAGATACTCGACACGTGATCTTGAAACTTGAGATACTGTTTAGAAGGCGGGGTCCTGTCGCTTTGGAGACGGCATCGACCTCTTTGACCTCTTTGTTCGCGTGAAATAAAGATATGTAGGCAGGGCTGGCTTTTTTCCTGCATGTAGCTTGCAGGTTCAGGTAACATTGGAAATTACCTGCATCAGACAAGTTATATATTAATATGTAGATTCCGATATGATTGTAATTTGTATTTCCCTACTATTAATAATTTATATCGTAAACAACTTGATCAGAATTCAGCCCTGTATGTCAAGGCTGCGAGATATGTTGTTGATATGTTGATTCAAACAAAGAAACCAATAAATTATTAAATTATTACCTGCGCCAATCAGAATTCAGGAAGTATGGATCATGCTCACAGAAACTGTTCAGAAACCCTTGCCATTATTTCTTTAACAGTGGTAACAGTTAATGCAGTAAATTAAAAGCCCTACACACCTACTTTGTATCTATACCCAGTACGTGGACCAGTGCAGGTTAGGTGCAGGTAGGCTGCAGAAATACCTGTATAGCCCTGATTTTTATGATTTATTTCGAGTGATATTCACCTTTACTTCGCTTGGATACGGCATCAACCTCTTTGATCTCTTTGTTCGCGTGTAATGGATATGTTTTTGGGTTTTATTTTTAAAATCCAAACCATGTAGTAAGGAAAATTAGGAAAAGGAATCGTCATTGAAAGATTAAGATAGGAGTTTGAGGATTTTTTTTCACTTCCTAATCAGAAGAAAACAAACAAGCGAAAAATACGGTATTGAACTAAAAAAAACATGACCTTCGCGAAATCAAATTACAGTTAGATGTTTAAGTAGTCGTTTGCATGCTTAGTCGATCTTAAAATTTATCAAAGTACATTGTATATCTTAGTACACTCTCATACTTCGACCGAAAAAAAGACAATATTTCCAGGACCTCATATCGTGAAGAAATGTCGATGTATTGTAATTCAGTGTAGAAGTTTCTTGTTGATTAAACCAGCAAAACATAACCTTCTAGGCGAAGGTAAAAACGCCACAAAAAAGACATATTCGCACCCTACATCTGCTTTGAGATCAAACGTCACTACATACGTCATCAGATCATGAATAATTAATCAGGCAAATTTAGTCTTGCGCATTTGGAGTTTCCCTCGCCTCCGCCCCAGATCATTTTTCGGAAGGAAAAACTTCCGTGTGCGATTTTACTTCTTCTGACGCGCCAGATTTTAAGATTTCTTGGTTCTAGCCTCATCAAACTTGTAAGGTAAGTATACGCAACACTTTGGGACCAACTGAGAAATACTTATTAGCCTAAACAGCTTTAATTTAGCGCGATATTTTGGTGACACTTCACGATATAGACATGTTGCTTCGACCTATAGGTTGTTGTTGTTTTTCTAGCCCCACGTCGTCACAAAAACTACCAAAGAAAAGGATCAAATAAGAGTTCTAATACCTCAGATGATGTCTTATTATTTTGTAAATATTACAGCATACATTTTGAAGCTCTAACACAGAAAATCTGGCCTTATGTCGATAATTTGTAAACAAATTATACAGAAACCGATGCCAACCCCAAATCATGCCCCTCCCCTCTTTCAGTTTCAAAAAAGTTGGACTTGAACTAGACAAGATCTAAAATGATAGCTTGGTATCTTATTTCAAGTCCAAGTTGAAGTGACTGATGTTAAATTCAAGTCCAGGGTTACAGTTAATACGTAGTTTAATCGCCCTTTAGATTGTTGACCCTGATATATTTTCTGTGTCACTGCATATGTTTTCTTGTTTTCTTCTACTACTAGGGGTGTATGGGGGTGTACTCTAGGGGGGTCTAAAAGATTATGAGGGGGATCTAGAAGAATTGGGGGGGTCTGAAGAAATAGTTACATTTGTCGTCAGGCCATATTTATCAGAATGAAGCATAAATATGCTGTATCTTACAGATCTTATGTAAGATTTTAGGAGAGTAGAAACAGAAAGACACTCCTGGTCCCGGGCCGGGGATCAAACCCACGCCAAATCCGTGCGCCAGTCCGCAACCCAACGCTCTAACCATTCGGCTAAAGGTCTAGACCCGTCGGCCGGGTCAGTTGGTAGTACCTATAAACCCCCCACTGTTACATTCTTACTACTAACGTTACTGTTGTAACTTCTATTTGATAACTTCCCCTTTTTGGCCCCAGTACATGACCCAAGGTTTAGACCCCAGTGTGCATACTAAATACCCAGTCCTTTCCACACAGAACAGATGTGCTTTCTAGCTTTTAACTGGTACAACCAGTATCATTTATTTGTATATAAAGGAATCTGTCATATTTCTGGTCTAGTGAATATCTAGAGCAATTTATAGATACTATTTTAAAGAAATTCTTTCAATCTTTGGTTTTTGTACCCCAAAGATGTTGTTGTCTCTATTGACTTTGGGTGTGTCAGAGAGGTTGAATAGGCCAGAAGGTTATCCATTGACCATCTGCCAACTTGCCAAGTATTCAAATGTCTTCATACTGTAAATATGCAGTCAAATCATTCAAAGTGTGACTGTCATCTGTGTAACTGTTTATTGTTTTGGTTGCTACCCATCTGTTTGCCCCAAGGAAGTAGGAGCTAGGAAAAAAAAATGTTGTGTTTCTTGTTTCAGTCCTGAAAAAAATTAGGGTCGCTAGGTAGGGATTATCTTTTTCTTTTCTTTTTTTTAGACTATGGTGATATCTATATACTAGTAGGGGTCCAACTTATACAGTTTAACAAAGTGCAACTTGCATGACTCTTTTGAGGACACTTTTAGTTTCAATGCCAATGTTAGAAAACCAATTGTATAACATTTCATCACTCAGGTGTCAGATCATGGAGCTAGAAAAGGTTGATCAGGTCGAGGAATTATGTCCCATGCAGGGGTCAACCCACAGAAAACAGGGGCTTCCTTGATCTTTCTATGAGCCTTACGGGATTCGTCGTTTTTGTCTTCAAGAACACAGGACGATGTCTAAGGCAGTAGAAGCAGGGGAGCAACAGGCCCCGCCCCCCTACCCAGGCCAGCAGCCACCCGCGCAGCCGTACTACCCAGCCCAACAGCCTGGGGCATACCCAGCTCCTCAACCTGGGCAACCCGGGGCATACCCTGCACCTCAACCTGGACAACCTGGGGTCTACCCAGCACCACAGCCTGGGGTAGGTATACTATACATGCACGCACTCACACGCTCGCACGCACACACACACACACACCTAACCCGTAGGTGGCACACACACACGCACACACGCATACACACACACACAGACACACACATATCAGCAGCCTGCAACCTGGGGTAGGTACTGTACATAGCTTCACTCACTCACTCACACACTCACACTCACTCACACTCAACCTGGGGTCTGCCCACCTGGCCCTCAACCTGGGGTAGGTGTACTGTACATACACGCTCTCTCTCTCTCACACACACACACACACATGCACACACCAAACAAAACTAGCAACTTTCACTCTGTTCAAAATACTTCAACTCTTTCCAAAATCATCACAATACAGCAATGGAGGTGTGGCAACTATGTAAGGTTTTAGCATGTACCATCTTACTAAGATTTCATGTTACATTATGTGACTGCTTATAACACTTAACAGCAAAAGATATGATTAAGATAATAGGTAATTAATCATTTTTCTCCCAGCAGCCCTGTGAACCCCCACAACCAGACCAACAGACGGTGCCCCCGGTGGTGAGTTGACATGGGAAAAAAATAACTGATGTCAGCTTTTTTGTTTTGTTTCAGGCATGGAATTACCACTTTAGTTGCTGAATGCGGATTTGAATATTTTATTAATATGTTTGTTTATTTGGTTTACTTCTTATGATGCACTCTTTCTTTCCCATTCCAGTATTTACTTTTTGTTAGTATAAACCATGATCATAACTTTGTTACTTTGAAGGGTTTGCCTTCTTACACTTTTGTGGTACTCGTACTCATATGCATGATTGTAGCATGTGACAGAAAATAAGCTTCAGGCCATAAAATTCCAGCGAATTAATTTCAGAACTACCAATAGGATTCTTTATCACTTTTAAAATCAGTCCAATAGGAACTCAGGATTCCTTTTTTTAATCACTAAAATTGAAAATCAGTCTAGTGGCTGCTAGAAGTGTAATGTAGTCAGGCTGACCAGTGGAAGGGCTGCTAGAAGTGTGATTTAGGCTAGGGGCCTGACCAGACTACCAGCCCTACTATATTGTATGTTTTGATACTAAGCCCCTGATTGTCTTGCCTACATTTATGCAAGCAGCCCGGACAACCAGTAGTGTACATGGCCCAGCCTGGGCCAGCCCAGTATCCAGCCCAGCCTCAACTAGTAACGGTATGTAACCATGGTGATGCCACATCCATCCCCAGAAGTGTTGTTCTAGTGTTGGGTGTTTTATGCAGAAGGTTTTTAATTGCAGGGTGGTAAGGCCTAGGAAAAAAAGTTGTGTTTCTTGTTTCCCGACTGACCCTAGAAAAAACTGCTGACCCTAGTCTTTTTTGTGGATCCCTGCAAGGGACATGAATTTTTTGAGCTGATTGACCTTTTCTAGCTCCATGATCTGACACTTGAGTGATAAAATGTTGCACAATCACACCATTTCAATCAGTTTTCCAACATTGTGTCCTCATCATTGGATCATTAAACATCAGCAGTCTAAAGAAAAGAAAAAAATCCCTAACTGACCCTAATTTTTTCAGTACTGAAACAGGAAACACAGCTTTTTTTTTCTTAGGCCTAACCATGGTGATACCAAGCCCATTCCGAGAAGTGTTCTACATGTAGTGTTGGGTGTTTCATGCAGAAGGTTTTAAATTTTATATGCAGGGGCAGCTGGTTGTTTAAAGGGTTTTTAGGCCTTACTGATTTGATTATATGGATGACATCCTCTGGGCAAAACTGATGCAAGTGTGCGAAAAAAAAGTTGGGCAAAAAGAAAAAAAAACCTTGCCTCTATTTTATGAAATTTAAGTGGTCAGGAAGGTTGAACAATTGACTGAGCGCACAGAGTATGGTACACCAAACAGTCCATATGATCAAGTCAGTGTGGTATTATTGCAGCTGGTACAATGTAGCACTGTCCTGGTACTTTTCTGTTCTATCTCTTATATCCTTGTTAGAGCATATTTACTGCAATTTAACATGTTTCTAGCTAGCCTTTATGTTTAATACATCTTTGGTCCCCAGCTCTACATGTGGTGTATGTGGTGTACCCAGTGTTGTAAATGTGTGGTGACGTGGCTAGAGTATTTTCTGCAACATATTTTTATGTGTGTTTTTTTATTTTGCCTGCAGTACCCTCAGCCACCACCAGGGGGCTTTGCTCCACAGGGTCCTGGTCAGCCACCAGTTCCACCAGGCAGCACTGTCATTGGTAAGTTACATCTTATTGTATGATGTTTATCTTACACATGTGTGTGTCTGTATCTGTATAGCCCGCCCTTCAGCATATCATACCTTTTGTGTGTGTGTGTGTGTTCGTTTGTGTCTGTGTATATGTGTGTGTGTGTGTGTGTGTGTGTGTGTGTGTGTGTGTGTGTGTGTGAGACAGAGAGAGAGAGTGTGTGTGTGTAAGTGTATGCGTGTCTGTTTGTTTCTGTGTGTGCATTTCTGTCTGTATCTATACATGTATGTTTGTGTGTGTATGTGTACATGTATGTGTGCACTACAATGTATAACTAAATCCCTTCCCTCCCTCCAGTGTCCCAGCCCGGCGTAATCGTGACCGGTCCCCAGTCCTTCCGTTCCGGCCACCCTGTCACCTGTGTGTGCCCGACCTGCCACCAGACCGTCCAGACCAGGGTCACCAGCGAGGTTGGACTCATCACCTGGCTTGCCATGGGGGGGCTGTTCCTCGTGGGGTGAGTCCAGGATTGTTTTTCTTCATTTATTTGATCTATTTCACTATTAGCCCTTGTCCTGCTGGTGTTTTTATGTTTTCCGAAGGAACATATTTCCAAAAATAGTTTCATCAGGTTGGTAAAGTATAGGATACAAGAGTTTTCTTTTATGCAACCAAGATGGTTTACCTTGCTGACGTTTAGGTGTCTATCAGACACCTTCCTCTGAGCTTCTGACTGGAGTTGTGCTTTTTGCTTCTAGCCAATGTAGGTGGCACTTTTGCAGCAAAATCACAAAACGTCGCTGAGTTTTCTACCCCCCCTCGTCCCGGTTAAAACATATTCTGTCTGCTCTGTTTCCTCCCCTTCCGTTCCAAACACAAAAGGTCAATGACCAGAACCAGACTTCTGTCACCATTGTAACTGTAGTGCTTGTACAACTGTGTGGCCCAAAGGCTACAGAAATGTAGATGGACACCACCCCTATGCTCCGCAGTGATGGAAAGGGGGCCTTCTTCTTCTAACTCAGCTGTGCTGTATTCCCGCTGTGCATTGAACTGAAGACCTGAAAATGTTTATTTGTTTGTTTGTTTGTGTACTAGTACACAAACTTTCGATCCAACACAAAAAAACTCTCACCTAGATCTTTCGACCAGTCACTCTGGTCTTCCTCAGTAGACTGACCCAGTGAGGCTTGTCACGTGGCTATCTTTTCATGATACTAATCATTATGTTTATTTACCAGTTGTTGGGCTGGTTGCTGCCTGATCCCGCTGTGCATCGATGAACTGAAGGATGCGCGTCACTCCTGCCCCAACTGTAACAGTCATCTGGGCACCTACGACAGGGTCAGCTAAACACCTGGTGCACCTGTAACACCTGGTGTACCTGTAACACATACCTGCATACCATCTTTGGATAGGATAGGCTCAAGCCTGTGTGGTCCCGATCTTCGCTCTAGCTTACACTTGAGACTACATAATATTGGCCCAGGTCTTATCCAGTCAGATTTTGAAATCATTCACTGTTTTCGCTTCCACTACTGCTTGTGGCAAAGAGTTCCAGTCCTTGACAGTTCTAACGCTGAATGACTGTCCCCTAACCCTATTCTTAGCTAATGGTACTTTGAGTTTATACTTGTGTCCTCATGTTGAGCTATCAGCTGACATTACTTCAAAAAATGTTTCTAGTGGAAGTCTCTCCAGCCCCCTTACAACACACGGTACACTTGTATTACCTGGTGTACCTGTGATACCTGAGACATCTGCAACATTTGGTCTGGTTGATTGGTACGCTTTCCACCTTGAAAATGACTAACACTAGTAACAGAAATTTTCATTTATGATAATTATGAAGAACTGTTTTTTTTTTTTTAATGGCCGCAATTAATTTTGGGATGGGGGCACAAAAAATAGACGGAGAGGACAAAATATATGTAATGGATTAAAGGTGTACAAAAATGGATGGATTGGAAAGTATAGAGAGTAATTCACAACTGGGACTGCTCCTTCGTTGCTACAATTTCAAATTTGGCAAGAAATAGTAGGTTTCTTACACCATAATGATAGAGCCTGACAAGTGGACAAAATGCCAGTGAGAAAGTAGACTTTGATTGTGTAAAAAAAATTTCTTTAATGAGGCTTGTCAGTAGTTTACAAGTAGGTATAGCAAACAGGTCACTGTATATCCAAGAATGAAATCCATACATAGCTACTATTAGTGTCTCAGTACATTTTCGATTAAGTCTAACAGTAGAATTTCTTAGCTTGAAACAACTATAGAAACAGCGCATCATCATGAAATATCTGAAAAGTGTTGTGCCTACTTGTAGTACTACTAAATACACAGTTAAGGACAGGGTATTTTTCTAATAGAGTATGAAGAGGGAGAAAACATAAAAAAACAGAGGGAATGAGAATGTACAGGAGTGTCTAAAGAGTCAGTGATCAAAATTAATTTTATGCTCCTAACAAATGTATTTCAAGGGTTGTTGGCACTTGCCAAAAGTTTTGCCAAAAAGAGTGTTCAGTGCTCTGGTTTCTTGGTTCAGAAAAACTGATTTGTTGTGAAGATAATGAAAGTAATAATGAATTCAGTTGATAGCCCACTGCCTTTGATGATTTTAAAGATTTTTTTAACAGTGTTGTTGTCTTTTTTAACAAGTGAATTTAATGAGATCCAAATGCTTTTTCTTGTATTAAAATAACCAAGAATTTTACTAATGACGTCATAACAAGGATTCTGTAATTCTATTAGACTTAGCATAGTCTAAAAATGAGACTTTGGTTTTAACAAGTTGAGTTAGTTGTAAACTATACACTAAATGTGTGTATTGCATGCTGTATTTTAATGCCTATGTAATATAAGAAGTAGTGAAGTAAAATGTTTTTTTTTTGTAACTACAAGGAGCTGAGACATGGAAAAGCTAAACTGTTCCCCTTAAGAAAATTGACTAATCAGAATTTTTGACTGCCCTCTTCAAAAATTGAGATCAAATTGCTTAGGACAAGTGAGTTTATGTATATGTGATGTCAGCACTGGGTCAAAGGTTGTTGGAAGCTTATATCGCCCCCCGTCTCGGTTGAGAGAAGATTGCTGTGCACTGATGTAGATGGCCTCTTTTACACCTCTCACAAAATAGTCATGTTTGGTATCCAGAATCTGAACCAAATCCACAAGTTCCAAGAAACTTTATCAATGGTTTATTTCAATAACATTGTCACAAACAGTGCAGCCAAAATGGTTGAATTGCGTCAGGACAATTACAATTTGGATAACTTTGGCCCATTGCTGACATCACATGATGTGCATTATATATAAGTCATGTCCTGAGCATTTGAGTTTGTCAAAAAATCCGGCAAAGCCAATTTTCTTGGGTTTAACTTTTCCACATGTAATTTTCCAACAAAGATGATCATACTTCCATGCTAGGAGCTGATGTGTATGTTGGTCATTTTCTATGTTCATTTGCGGACAATACCTACAGTTGTACTAGCCTCCGTAGCAGGCCTATAGAACTGGGGGTTTGGTGGTCTTCAGCTGTTTTCTGATTAGCCCAGTTCTAAGAACGGGGGTAATTCAACCAGGCCGGCTATGTTGTCTATATGCAATCAGAAAATAGCACATAAAAGCTCCTGAAGACCCTGAACCCCCCCCCCCCTAGTTTTTGGCATGCTATGGAGGCTACAGTTGTACCACATTTTTCAACAACTATGCAGATTCAGTACATTTTTACATGAAATCAGACCGTGTGCCTTTAACATAAATATTAACCCTCACACTGCCACATGACTCCATATCTCCATGTTCATACTGGTACTGAGGTAACTTGGCATGGTGAATGTTGAGTTTGCTGCAAACTATGTAGTCATGACAAGGCAAACAAATTTAATTTGTTGGCTCACTTGATTCAGTGTGTACAGTGGTTCTTTCTTTGTGTCCTCTTGGTTTTTTTCACAAGAAAGACTGACTTTTTTCTACCATGCAGCACAGTGAGCTTTATATAGATAAGATGTAGTATTATATCGTAATGTTTCTTTTTACACACAACATTTTCTGTACGCTGAAATAATAAAGTCTGCTTTTAGTAAGAGTTTTCTTGTTCTTGTGGTGTTGTTCAAGTTGTTGCATGCAGAATAGTTGTTCTTGGATATGCATTGACAAATCTAAATCAGTATTCTAGTCACTTATCTACATAACGTTAGTGAGTTAAAACTACAATACCCCAATGTATATTGACCCTTATGGAGCAAAAATACCCAAAATTCTGACGGAAAATGGTTACTGGAAGGGCCCTTGGCTGATTTTTAGGGTACCACCCAGAAAATAAAGGACTCATCTTCGGGCTTGTTTCTCCAGTTTTCAGTATACCCAAAGTATGAAATAATGATTGCTAATGTGCCAATGTGAAGCAGTATGTGTCAATATCACAAAGATTGCCTTAATAATGAGAATATTTCCAGTTTTGCTGCTCTGAAATCGCATTGGATGCCTTTAAACTAGTCTTCACCAGACTTCTTTTGCGGGGTGAATAAATCGTAGAAATCGGCCTAAAAAGGGT